AAAATCCCTCTTGGACACAATCTGGCCACAATTTTCTCCAAGCAGAGTTCAAAGTCCTGGAAGTCACTCCCTGCCAAGCCTTACCTATAAGGCTTATGCAATGGAGGATATTGAAGTGATTCCTCCAGAACTCTCTTAAGTGTCTGAGGTCACTTCAAAGCGCCTTTGAAACACTGCTTTGGCGTAGAGTTTTTTGAAGTTAGAAATGATCTGCTGGTCCATGGGCTGGATGAGAAGAGTGGTGTTAGGAGGCAAGAACTTCAATTATATAAAACTGAAAACCCTAAACAACTGGTCTTCCAAGTCTGGAGGATGAGCAGGTGCATTGTTCAGTACCAGGAGGCATTTGCATGGCAATTTACTTTCCAGGAAGTATTTTTTTACACTGGGGCCAAACACACCATTGTCCCACTCTTCGAAAATGTGCCTCGTGACCCATGCCTTATTATTAGCTTTCCACATCACACATCTATTCTTGACAACATTGTTTTTCTTAAACACTCTGGGATTTTCAGTGATACACCAGTAAAGGCTTCACTTTGAAATCCCCACTTGCGTTAGCACAGAACAAAAGCTTGTCTTTCATAAGCTTGTGTCCTGGCAGTGCCTTTTTCTCCTCCATGATGTAGGTCCTCTTTGGCATTTTCTTCCAAAAGAGGCATGTTTCGTCATAAATGAACACTTGTTGGGGGAGGAATCCTTCAGCCTCAACGTACCCCTTGAATTCCTTCATGAATTTCTCACCCAAACATTTGTCAGAACTTGCAGCCTCCCCATGCCTTACCACACTGTGTATGCCACTACGCTTCTTAAATCTCTCAAACCAGCCTTTGCTGGCCCTAAATTCACAAACAGCAGCACTTGTTCCAGGCATTTTCTTTACAAGATCCACATGTTACTGCCTTGCCTTCTCACAAATAATCAACCCCACAACACTCTCTCTCACTAATTGCTTTTTGGTGATCCACAACAACAACAATTTCTCCATATCATCCCTTATCGGTGACCTTTGTTTCATTAGCACATTTACTCCTTTCGCAACATTAGCTTTCTTGATTTCTACTTTTTTTGCCAGAATAGAAGTGATTGTTGATTTGTTTTTCCCATACATCCTGGCAAGTTCTAGCACTCAAATACCACTATCATACTTGACGTGCTGTTGGAGTGTGAGCAAAGTAACATTTATGAAGGGATTCAGGGAAACTGGCAGGCCGGACTTGAGTCCTGGAGATGGGAAGTACAGTGCCTGCACTCTGAAGGAGGGGTGTTAATGTTGCAGTTTAAAAACTGTAGTGTAAAGCACCCTTCTGGCAAGACAGTGATGGAGTGAATGATGGTGAAAGTTTTTCTTTTTCGGGCCACCCTGCCTTGGTGGGAATCGGCCAGTGTGATAATAAATAAATAAAAAAATACTTTTCAACAACTTCTTTCTTAAAATCTATCAGGTTTCTCACTTTCTTTACCCAAGGAACTTTACCAGGAACTTTCTTTGGGGCCATGATTATTTTTTCACAGATGTACTTAATCAATAACCACAAAAAAAATGGATTATAGTGAAATGTTTGGATGAATGAGCAGAAGCTTCCTCACTCACCCAGAGACAAAGCCAGACAGACGCGCGAGCGACTGGAGGCAGTGGGTTGACACGTCTCATACGGCTAAGTGAAAAAATGGCCGATAACCTGAAGCCGAGAAACTGGCTGATAACTGAGTTGGCAGATAAGCAGAACAGCCGATAACCAAGGGTCCACTGTATATACACACCACTGACGGTTTTCTTCTATTTTCTTACTAGTTCTTGTTCTTGCTTATTTCTTATCTCCATGGGGAAGTGGTAAAGAATTCTTCCTCCATAAGCCATATGTATCATAAGAGGCGACTAATATGCCAGAAGCAAGGGGCTAGTAACCCTTTCTAAAGATAAAGATAAAGCTTTATTTCTTTGTAAAGGTTACAGTGTGTACAGCCTCTCCTCACTTAACGACGGAGCTCCGTTCCTAAGACCTCATCGGTAAATGAATTCGTCGCTAAGTGAGGAGCATGCTATAATGGTATTGGGTTTGTGTCAACCATCTTTGGTATTGTTTTAATGTCACCTATGCACCATTTATAACATTTCTGGTATACTTTTAAATGTTTATACAGTAGTGTACTGCATATTTTAATAAACAGAATAGAGGAAATCAGCTCTAATATACATTATTTTGGTTTGCATACTGGTCAGAGAGCCATTCATAAGTCTGAGTCATCGGTAAATGAGTATGTCGCTAAATGAGGAGAAGCTGTAATTACAATTTTGGTTTGCTAAGTACAAAGAAAGCCACTATCAGGCTGGGGCATGATAGTATAAATTACTAAATTTAAAAAAAAAAAACTTTTGTTTTTCTTCTTGGGCCACCCTGCCTCAGTGGGATATGGTCAGTTTGTTGAAAGGAAAAAGGAGGAAATCTGTTGAATATACCTGGTAAAGTGTATGGTAGAGTTATTACTGACAGATTTAAAAGTAAGATAGAAAGCAGGACAGCAGAAGAGCAAGGAGGCTTTAGAAAGGATAGGGGGTGTGGAGAGCGGCTTTAGAAAGGATAGGGGGTGTGGAGAGCAAGTGTTTACAGTAATATACAGTGGATCCCCAGTTCCCGATGCTATCGGTATCTGATAAATCCGGTAGCCGATGCATTTGATCGAAAAAAATTTGCCTCGCTTCCCGATACAAAACCCGGTATGAGTACGATTCGTACGAGATGTGTCCAGTGTTTACAAGCCAGCCAGTGTGCGCGCATCTAAGGATACATTCAGTACATTCTATATTATCCATATTATCACTGTTTTTGGTGTTTGTTTCTGCAAAATAAGTCACCATGGGCCCCAAGAAAGCTTCTAGTGCCAACCCGAGACCAAGGGTGCTAATGACTATTGAAATTAAGGAAATGTGTGCAAAGTGGCTTCAAGTGCAAACCTTTTTTGATGAAAATCACCCTGACACAGCTACTGCAAGCCATGTTGGCAACTTGCACAATGACACTGTTGTGAACCACTTTAGGAACGTCATAAAGGAACGAGAGGTACAGGCCTCTATGGACAGATATGTTGTGCGACACAAGTCCAGTGACTCTCAACCTAGTCCTAGTGGCATTAAAAGAAGAAGGGAAGTAACCCCGGAAAAGGACTTGCTACCTCAAGTCCTAATGGAGGGGGATTCCCCTTCTAAATGCTAACACCATCCACACTCTCCCCTCCTCCCATCCCATCAATCATCACCAGATCTTCATTAAAGGTAAGTGTCAATTATTCTTTTGTTACATATTATTCTATTGTTATTGTTGTTATTGTAATTATTCTATTGCATTAAACTTAATATTTCATGTGGTAACAGTTTTTTTTTTTCATACTTTTGGGTGTCTTGCACGGATTAATTTGATTTCCATTATTTCCTATGGGGAAAATTGATTCGCTTTCCGATAATTTTGGCTTACAATGAGCTCTCAGGAACGGATTAATATCGTGAACCGAAGGTCCACTGTATAGGTGAACAGTATTTAGATAAGGGTAAAGAGGTTCTTGTGGCATTTATGGATTTAGAAAAGATGTATGATAGGGCAGATGGGGGGGCAATGTGGCAGATGGTGAAGGTGTATGGTATAGGAGGTAGGTTACTGAAAGCAATGAAGAGTTTTTACGAGGATAGTGAGGCTAAGGTTAGAGTATGTAAGAGAGAGAGATTATTTCCCAGTAAAAGTGGGCCTTAGACACGGATGTGTGATGTCACCATGGTTGTTCAATATATTTATAGATGGAGTTGTCAGAGAAGTGAATGCTCGGGTGCTGGAAAGAGGTGCGGGGTTAAAAGATAAAGAATCTTACACAAAGTGGGTGTTGTCACAGTTGCTCTTTGCTGATGACACTGTGCTTTTGGGAGATTCTGAAGAGAAGTTGCAGGTTGGTGGATGAGTTTGGTAGGGTATGCAAAAGAAGGAAATTAAAAGGGAATATAGAAAAAATTAACGTGATGAGGATAACAAAAAATTTAGGTAACAAAAGAGTGGATATCAGATTGGAGTGAGAGACTATGGAGGAAGTGAATGTATTCAAATATCTGGGAGTGGACATGTCAACAGACGAGTCTATGAAAGATGAGGTGAATCACAGAACTGACGAGGGGAAAAAGGTGAATGGTGCACTGATGAGTCTGTGGCGACAAAGATGGGAATGTATGAGAGTATAGTTATACCAACGCTCTTGTATGGGTGTGAGGCATTGGTTGTGAATGTTGCCAGAAGGAGAATTCTGGAGGCAGTGGAGATGTTATGTCTGAGGGCAATGTGTGGGGTAAATATAATGCAGAGAATCTGTAGTTTGGAAATTAGGAGGTGCAGGATTATCAAAATTATTATCCAGAGGGCTGAGAAGGGGTTGCTGAGGTGGTTTGGATATGTAGAGAGGATGGAGAAAAATAAGATGACTTTGAGAGTGTATAAATCTGTAGTGCAGGGAAGGCAGGGTAGGGGTCGACCTAGGAAAGGCTGGAGGGAGGGGATAAATAAGGTATTGTGTGCGAGGGGCTTGGACTTCCAGCAAGCATGCATGAGTGTATTAGATAGTAGTAAATGGAGACAAATGTTATTTTAGGATTTGACATGACGTAGGAGTGTGAGCAAGGTAACATTTATGAAGGGATTCAGGGAAACCAGCAGGCCAGACTCGAGTCCTGGAGATGGGAATTACAGTGCCTCCACTCTGAAGGAGGGATGTTAATGTTGTACTTTTATAATTAAAGTGTAAGCACACCTCTGGCAAGACAGTGGAGTGAGTGATGATGGAAGTTTTTTTTTCAGGCCACCCTGCCTTGGTGGGAAATGGCTGATGAGTTAATAAAAAAAACCTAGGTTGTCTAGTGAATGTGCTTAAAACAATTAGCATCAGTAAAAATAATCATGAAGCTAAAACATTACCATAATTAGAATACAGATGCAGTACATAGTTTACTACTGAAACTGACTTACAAGAGCATCCATTTCCTGCACCTCACTTGGAGCATCAGTGTCAGTAGTTATGTGGATAAAAAGCTCTTCATGTGGATCAAGCAACAATCCATACAGCAACCAGTGAGTCAGTTGGTCAAACAAAACTGAGTGAACTTCCTGCTCTACCCTGAAATATAAGTGACTGTAAAATTTCATGCAGTATCTAATAACTCAATATGATTAAGACAAATTTTTACAAAAAAAATACAATACATACATAGGTATAGTAAAACTAATTATAAAAGAAATACATAGTACAGTGGTACCTCAAGTTATGAACTTAATTCGTTCCAGAAGGCTGTTCGAGTGCTGATACCAAACGAATTTGTTCCCATAAGAAATAATGTAAATTAGATTAGTCCATTTCAGACCCCCAAAAATACGCTTACAAAAGCACTTACAAAAATACACTTACATAACTGTTCAAATAGGGGGTTGTTCGAAACTCTAGGTACCACTGTATTGTATATTTTTAAATCACCATAGAATTACCCATATTTTTCCAAGAAAAACTTAAGCTAACATTTACAGTACAGCATTTAGAAATTGTATACTGCTGGGGATTGTAATAATATTTTGACACTACCACAAAAAAGGTTGATATTACAAAGATTGAAGTAGATGACAATTTGAATTTACATGAAAGAGTTATATTAAAATTTGGAATGTCATAATAATCAAAAGCTACAACAGTGTTCTAGTGCTACTCACCACATGAGAACCTGCTTCACATGTGCCACAGAATTTGCTGTGTGCTTGTGAAGAACTTCCAGTATCATGCATCCATGAACATTTTTCTCTTCAATCTGTGAAGTAAAAATACAACATTAATAACTAGAAATGTATCTAGCCTTCATGTATGTCGTAAGAGGCGACTAAAATGCCGGGAGCAAGGGGCTAGTAACCCCTTCTCCTGTATATATTACTAAATATAAAAGGAGAAACTTTCATATTTCCTTTTGGGCCACCCCGCCTCAGTGGGGTACGGCTGGTATGTTGAAAGAAGTATCTAGCCTTCAAATACTCCACTCTTTTACTTAAGTAGTAAGTATCATATCATTGTCATAATGTCATAAGTAGTATTCTACCTATAGAAACTGTCATAACTCTCATGTAAAATGCCTTCTAACAAATTTATTAACCATGTCCTTGGCTTTAAGAACTGGATCCTCTAATATTTGTTAGTAGTGTCTATGGTTCTCTTGTAGCAACTATCATCAAAACTTGTATGCTTAAATTATAATATAAATCCCCAAACATCAATGTACTCTTGAACAGTGGAAAAAACTAATGGAAATGGATGAAAGTGAAAACAAGCCTCACATAGAATACAAACTGTGTAACAAAACAATAAAAGATATACGTGTACCAAGGCTAGTGAGGCATGATCTGATCAGCTGTTTAGCCATGCAGGCAGGCAAACATGCTGTTTTCTTAAAACAATTGTTGTATCTATTTCAGGGAAGGCATGTTAAGCCCATATAGAGTTGCCTCAAGGAAAAGCAGGGTATCTCCAATTTCTTTGATATGGAGCTCATCATCTTGAAATTTTTCTGTCAACTGTCATCAAGTGTGATGAAGCTTATAAAGCTTTATCAATTATCATGTAGTAGAAAATTACAATTATCATGTGGTAGAAAAAAAACAGTTGTAACTAAACCCATGGTGGTCAGTGTTTTGTTGTTATCTAAATATATTAAGTGCAAAGCCGAGGATTGAATACTAACTTCTGATTGGCCAACATATGTTTTAACACATACAATCTTCTTTTTATATAAGTACTTACAGGGCTAATATCTCCCACAATAAAAAAAAATTACAGAAAATAATTATTTTTGCCTGGGTTTGACTACCTTGCTTGTATAAGAAATAAGCAAATGGCTGAGTTCAGCCAATTACCTAATCACTAACTCCTCTTGAAGGTACTGTATAATGATGCTGGTGAGGGGCTCTTGATCCAAGGAATTGTATCTATCCTCCAATTCTTTGGCAGGCAGGAAGGCAGGGTAGGCAGGCCAGACAGGCCAAGCAGCCCGGCCCAGCCCAGCCAGTCAGTTAGCCAGCTACCTAGCCAATTAGCCAGCCAGTTTGTTAGAGAATTGTAGACTTTACATTTGCATTCTTGCTGTCCCAAGTCTCCCCTGTCAGGTATATGTATAATCAGTGTCTGTTTTTTGTATGTCCAGTCAAGTCATCAATACAGTGAACTAAGTCTGTTTTATTTGACACTTGTCCATGTCCAGTAGTCAACTGATTAAGCAGGCATGGTCCATTAATCAATCGACTACTAGACTGTCCTTTCAATTGAAAAGTTCCATGTAACAAAATTTTTGGGTAAAACTTTCCCCACTATTAGTACATTTTATCGGACTTTTATCATAATTGGTGGCACGCATTTCTGTTAAGGAGCACCGAGGCAGACAGGCAGGAGACCCATCATTATGCACTGGGCAATTCACTTGTTTTTGAAGTGTAAGGAAGGGTGTGGAAGAGGGTGAATGGATGTTAACAAACAGCTTCCCACATGAGACAGCATACATTATTGTTCAGTTTTTTTTTTTCCTTTTTTTCTATCACCCAACTAGTCTCTGGATATTTCTTGTGGTATCCAGACAAAGTGCAGATGATGCTGGGGAAGCAAAGAAGAAACTTAAGCATGAAACTATGCTTATTTAAAAAAAATTAGAGCAAATTGAGATGCTGAAGGGTGGTGCACAAATCACTGAGACAGCACAAGTGTCTGGTGTTAGAGAATCAATGATTTATTCAATCTGAGACAATGAGACAAATATAAAGGCTTGTGCAATGAGTAATCCTCAATGTGACACAGTGAAAAGAATGAAGAATAGGATCCTGCAGTTAAATATAATAGTAGGTTGATAAACAGCAACCACCCAGGAAGGTACTATTGTCCTGCCAGGTGACTGTGAAACAGAAACCTGTAACTGTTTTACATGATGGTAGGATTGCTAGTGTCTTTTTTCTGTCTCATAAACATGCTGGATAACAGGTATATCTTGCTACTTCTACTTACACTTAGGTCACACTACACAGGCATGTACACATGCATATGTATACATACATACATCAAGGTTTTTTTCTTCTTTTTCTTAACAGCTCTTGTTCTTCTTTATTTCATCTATTGTCCATGGGGAAGTGGAAAAGAATCTTTCCTTCGTAAGCCATGCGTGTCGTATGAGGTGACTAGAATGCCGGGAGCAATGGGCTAGTAACCCCTTCTCCTGTAGACATTTACTAAAAAAAAGAAGAAAAACTTTATAAAACTGGGATGCTTGAATGTGTGTGGATGTAGTGAGAATAAGAAAGAGATGATTGCTAATGTTATGAATGAAAAGAAGTTGGATATCCTGGCCCTAAGCGAAATAAAGTAGGCGAGTTTTGGTGGGGAGAAATAAATGAGATTAAGTCAGGAGTATCTGAGAGAGTTAGAGCTAAGGAAGGGGTAGCAATAATGTTGAAGGAGCAGTTATGGAAGGAGAAGAGAGAATATAAATGTGCAAGTTCAAGGATTATGTGAATTAAAATAAGGGTTGGATGCAAAAAGTGGGTTATAATAAGTGTGCATGCACCTGGAGAAGAGAAAGTGTAGAGGAGAGAGAGAGAGAGATTTTGGGAGGTGTTAAGCAAATGTATATGAACCTCTGAACCAAGTGAGAGAGTAATTGTGGAGGGGACCTAAATGCTAAAGTAGGAGAAACATTCAGAGAGGGTGTGGCAGGTAAGTTAGGGGGTGCCAGGTGTAAAGGATAATGGGAGCCTGTTGATTGAACTTTGTATAGAAAGAGGTTTAGTTATAGTTAATACATATTTTAAGAAAAAGAGGATAAGTACAAGATATGATGCAGGGTGTTGAACTACGTATTGGTAGATAAAAGACTTGAATAGACTTCAGGATGTACATGTTTATAGAGGGGCCACAGATAGATCACTTTTTAGTTGTAGCCAGTGAGAGTAAAAGGAAGATGGGATACAAGGAAAATAGAAGCAGCAAGTAAGAGAGAGGTGAAGGTTTATAAACTAAAAGAGGAGGCAGTTAGGGTAAGATATAAACAACTTTTGGAGGATAGATGGTCTAGTGAGAATACAGGTAATGGAGTCGAAGATGTATGGGGTAGGTTTAAGAATGTTGTGTTAGTGTGTTCAACAGAAGTTTGTGGTTACAGGAAAGTTGGTGAAGGAGGGAAGAAGAGCGATTGGTGGAATGATGATGTAAAGAGAGTAGTAAGGGAGAAAAAGTTAGTATATGAGAGGTTTTTACAAAGTAGAAGTGATGCAAGGAGGGAAGAGTATATGGAGAGAAAAAAGAGGTTAAGAGAGTGGTGAAGCAATGTAAAAAGAGAGCAAATGAGAGAGTGGGTGAGATGTTATCAACGAATTTTGTTGAAAATAGGAAAAAGATTTGGAGTGAGGTTAACAAGTGGAAAAGAATCTTTTCTCCGTAAGCCATGCGTGTCGTATGAGGCGACTAAAATGACGGGAGCAATGGGCTAGTAACCCCTTCTCCTGTAGACATTTACTAAAAAAGAGAAGAAAAACTTTATAAAACTGGGATGCTTGAATGTGTGTGGATGTAGTGTGGATGAGAAGAAACAGATGATTGCTGATGTTATGAATGAAAAGAAGTTGGATGTCCTGGCCCTAAGCGAAACAAAGCTGAAGAGGGTAGGGGAGTTTCAGTGGGGGGAAATAAATGGGATTCAATCTGGAGTATCTGAGAGAGTTAGAGCAAAGGAAGGGGTAGCAATAATATTGAAGGATCAGTTATGGAAGGAGAAAAGAGAATATGAATGTGTAAATTCAAGAATTATGTGGATTAAAGTAAAGGTTGGATGCGAAAAGTGGGTCATAATAAGCGTGTATGCACCTGGAGAAGAGAGGAATGTAGAGGAGAGAGAGATTTTGGGAGATGTTAAGTGAATGTATAGGAGCCTTTGAAACAAGTGAGAGAGTAATTGTGGTAGGGGATCTGAATGCTAAAGTAGGAGAAACTTTTAGAGAGGGTGTGGTAGGTAAGTTTGGGGTGCCAGGTGTAAATGATAATGGGAGCCCTTTGATTGAACTTTGTATAGAAAGGGGTTTAGTTATAGGTAATACATATTTTAAGAAAAAGAGGATAAATAAGTATACAAGATATGATGTAGGGCGAAATGACAGTAGTTTGTTGGATTATGTATTGGTAGATAAAAGACTGTTGAGTAGACTTCAGGATATACATGTTTATAGAGGGGCCACAGATATATCAGATCACTTTTTAGTTGTAGCTACACTGAGAGTAAAAGGTAGATGGTATACAAGGAGAATAGAAGCATCAGGTAAGAGAGAGGTGAAGGTTTATAAACTAAAAGAGGAGGCAGTTAGGGTAAGATATAAACAGCTGTTGGAGGATAGATGGGCTAATGAGAGCGTAGGAAATGGGGTCGAAGAGGTATGGGGTAGGTTTAAAAATGTAGTGTTAGAGTGTTCAGCAGAAGTTTGTGGTTACAGGAAAGTGGGTGCGGGAGGGAAGAGGAGCAATTGGTGGAATGATGATGTAAAGAGAGTAGTAAGGGAGAAAAAGTTAGCATATGAGAAGTTTTTACAAAGTAGAAGTGATGCAAGGAGGGAAGAGTATATGGAGAAAAAGAGAGAGGTTAAGAGAGTGGTGAAGCAATGTAAAAAGAGAGCAAATGAGAGAGTGGGTGAGATGTTATCAACAAATTTTGTTGAAAATAAGAAAAAGTTTTGGAGTGAGATTAACAAGTTAAGGAAGCCTAGAGAACAAATGGATTTGTCAGTTAAAAATAGG